TAAAGGTGGCTCATTGACACCATAATTTTTTAAGTTACAAGCTGAAAATACAGATAGTTTTAGAAGGATAATAAAAAGAACTCATGTAGCACCTTTGTAGTCTGTCTAACTTTCCCAAGGACACTTGCCAGCTGGAGGAGCCAGTTTTTCTGGAATTTGCTAATTAGTCCAGACCACACCCCGATTCAAGACTTTCCTTTTTAACAATCTGGTGTAATCAAAACAAAACAAGTCATTTTCTTGGTTTCTCTTGGAAGGTGTCCCTAACATGAGTCATAGCAAAGCTTTTGCAAAAAGTACCAGGAGAACCTGTAAAAGCCACAGAAGGTGTATGAGCTTGTCCTGGGTGCAGAGGAACTCCTGAACTCTTCTGAGGATTATTTACTAGTGTAAGTCTCCCCCCAGCCCTCCTCCCAGTGCTTTACATTACTTACGGTACAGTAAAGCCCACATAACTCAGACTCTAGTGAGTGATAAATCATTCAGGTGAGATCCTGCACAGTAAAATGCTTAGTGGAGTGGGAATTGATTGTAATCATCTCAATCCGTTGCTGCCTGACAGAAACATTCATCCAGACCTCGTTATAATAGAGCAGAGGACAGGAAGTACAGGGTGCATTCTTTTAGCTGAAACCTTTTCTCAGAAAAGGCTTGTTTGAGAATACCAGGTCTTAAAATACTACTCTTTGTTGATACTACATAAGAACAACAAAGCATGTGATATTACACCGAGGTACACAATGTTTTAGTTGGACGATTCAAAACGTCTTTTTCCGCTTCCAGTAGCGGTCCGATGAACTTTGCGTACAGACCACTGTACTGTTGTTCAGCTACGTCTTCCCTAATAGCGAGATTAGTTTTCCGAATGCCAGCGAATGGGAGTTCTCGGATGTCTAAGTGACACCGAAACCACATTCCACCCATCTCAGTCATAGATAGCAACTGGCTCCGTCCCAGTCTGTTACATACAAAATGCAACTTTATTAACCTTCATGCCTCCATTCATATTAATATACATGTATATGTTTGAACTTATTTTAATTTCACAGCTCCATCCATATGAAAAATACAGAGAAAAAGGCAAAAACACTGACTGGATACTTAAACAACTCTCGGAGAAAAGGAAACAAAAAAAAGTGTAACAGGAGAAAAAAAAAAAGAGTACATCTGTTGTTGAAGTTTTGAAAAATATCAGGATTAAAAATTTCTGTTACAGATGTGGAATTCCATGAGCAGAATCTCCCTTTTTGAAGCGATGTTGAGCAATATCACATTTTTCTTTACGGTAAGAATGAAAAGATCTGAATATATTTACACTACACTCACTTTACATAAATACAGGAACAACGATTACTGTACGTAATATCAGCAAACTTGAAACAAAGGCATTGGCTTCACTACCTAAATTTTCAAAACCAGGAAAATCAAAAGCAGATGTTATACAGAAAGTAAAATATATATTGAACTGACAGAAACTGCAAGATAAGTATTCATTAAGAGAGGTGTGACTGCTGGAATCCCAGCCACAGGATTTTTTTTCCTTTCTTTTTTCCTGTGAGTATGATTCCTCATCATCTTCCATGGAATCACTATGTTGAATTGATGTGTTGAAGCTGAAACACCAAGAGACCTTTGTAACTCGGTTTTGTTACCCTTAGAGGAAGTGACTTATTGCAAGCAAAGTAATAATGTGTGCTATAAACAGCCTGTGAAAGTGTTATGGGAAGATGCTGCATTGTACACAATGGTATAAGGCTCAGTGCGAAAAGAAAGTTCAACATTAGAGGTCCGACTTGCATAATGTTGTCTGTGCTTCTTTTTTTTCCCCCAGAATTCGTGGTTTTCTCGTTTGAAATTTATTAATCCAAGCACGCGTGCTGAAATCGAAGCTCTGCACAGAGCAGCTGATATTACAAGTTTGTGATATGAGGCACTATTCATTATTATTATTGCATAACTTTGACCCTGGTTACCGTAACAAAATTATGCTTTAAAATATGAGGAAAGAGATGCTGAAGGGAAATACAATACACCCTGTCCTATGGAGACACCATCTTCAAGTCAAATTGAGATTTTCAGAAATTGGTGTATTAAGGCATGCAACGTCATGTACTGAATACAGGAGTACATGTGTCGCTGATATGTGCTTGATCGGTAGAATTTCTTGTCGGGTATAGCAAAATAGCAACACAGGGAATTGTGTACCTTAATACTGTGTATAAATAATTGGTCGATTCTAGCAAACACTGGTTCAGCCTTGGGAACTGAAAAAAAATGATTTGATCATGAATGTGTTTAACCACAAACCAAAGAGAAAATAAAAAGCAAACTGTTCTATAACATCACATATGATCATTTACATGATGAATACCATTAGCCCCATTTCACTGTATATCAAATTAGATAAATTACAGTCTCTGAAAAAAGACTTTACATGTATAAATGTATTTCCTGCATCTACTAATCAAAAGCCCTATTTTTCCAATGTATGTACAGGCTGTAGAACTTTGTAATAAGTTTTATCTTCACTATCACATATATTACAACATTTCAAAATGTCCTTTGTACAGAAGAGAAAGATTTATATGCAAATGAAGACGTGCCCCTCAATCATAAAAACACTCTAATACATTATAAGGATGATAAAATACGATGATGATTATTCGCTTATAAATTGACATCTGAAATAAAATCATTTGAATATCATACGAAACAAACAAACAAGGTGCTGATATGGTTTTGCCAAAATGCTAATACAACTGGGCATAATGTCGTGCACAAACAATACAGATAAATAATGACAACATGCGTTCTCCAACAAACCGAGAAGGGCGTCGCACGCTTCCGTGCGGAAATTGCTTCCTGGATTTGGCTGTTTTACTGAAAGTGAGAATGTGGAATCCAAGTTTGTGCATTAGCGTGCAAGTGTATGGATTTCAAGGTACCGTAATCGAAAAGGTTAACATTTTTCTTTTTTACTGGCCTAGGTCCAATAGATGCATTTGGCAGCATTATCGAATAACATTGGTTGGCCTGATATTTTATGTCCGAAGCTTTTACGTAGCATAAAGAGCGCTGGAAATACTTGCAAAAATGTCCGTTATTAGGTCTATAAAAATATATTTTTAATTGAATTTCCTGATTAAGGTTAAGTGATGCTTTCCAATAAATATATCTCTGCCGGAAACTGCTTCTAAAAGGTACTCCTGCTGTGAATACAAACACACACACAGAAAAAAAGAACGGAAAAAAACAGTGTGCATGTATTTGTGTATGCATGTGTGCAATTCCTGCATTTCTCTGCTTTTTACATGACCAAATCTCAGGTAAATCAGACATAAATCATAACTTATATCTGGTCTGAGGCGATTTCAAGTGACTTTGTTTGTGTTTGAGACAAACGACAGGAATAGAAATGATACATGTGGAGACAATCACCAGCTGGGAGACATCAGATTAGAAACCAGTCAGTAACGGAGGGAGTTGCGGTACAGAGCGTGAGGAGGTGGCCAAGCTGGGAACTTCTCCTCGGATATTGACATCAGCAAACAGAACAAAGAGGAGGTTTAATGTTCCTTCCCATCACTTTGTTCAGAATGTATTGCTCTTCTGTATTGTACACCAGGTGCCACACTATCCCTGTAACACTTCAGCTGGTGTCAGTGTCATTTTTTGGACAAGTGCTGCGGTGCTGTGCAAAACCACAACACAAATTCCTTTTTTTTTTCTGTTAAACCCAGCTGAAATGACTTTTTCTTTTTAAAAAATGAGAAATGTCAGGACACAATAAAAGTCTGTAAGGTGCCTCTATTTTTTCACATACTGGAAATCTCCTCTGATTGTTCAGTTCACTGTACATGAGGGGTTGTATTTTCTGAGTCAAACATAAGCAATAAGCAGGCATTAAAAAAGAAGCAAAACCCAATAAACAAAACATTTTTATACTGAAGTATATTTATCCTTTAAGATTGCACTTTACTGATTGCTAATCACAGCTCAAAATCCACCAGATTTTTTTTTTTCCTTTTTCTAATAAATGCTTTGAAGAGGCTCAACATAAACATAAAGAACAGCACTGATGAGATTTGGAGTTGTCCGGCCATGTGAGTGGATCATCAATGGTGCGTGCTGGTGCGATGATATGCAAGTCCTATTTCCATTTATGAAAACAGGCATTGAATGACTGAAAAAGTGGAGGTGCTGATGAGGTTGATCTTTTCGGGTTGTGGGCATTTGAGTCTATCTTGATTACAGTTTGCAGGCGATGAGAGAGGTGAAAGTCCAACCTTCTTTTAGCTTCTACAAGGGATGCCTCAGATCTAAGAGCAGAAGCCAGCAGGAAAATGAAACCACTTATGATTAAATGGTGCCCCCTGCTGGTCACAAATCAGACTCACACAGGGGGGCGTGGTGAAAAAACACTACCTGTAACTTCAACTACTGGTACATCCAAGTCCGTTCCCGTGATCCAGTCGAGGCCAAACTTCTTCCTGCTCACACAGGAAATCCATTCCTTACAACGGGGTCTTTCACATTATGAATGCTGGAAAAGCAGCCGTTTGGAACAATAATGAAAAGAAAGACACCAAAACAAAAAAAGACACAGTTGCAATTGCATTATACTTTTTTTTGTCCAAATAAAGAGTTAATCTTAAAAATCAAAGTGAAACATTTACGAACAGTGCTGTAAAAGACAGTTCCCTATTATACTCCAAGCAAAGACAAAAAAGATCCTGCCGTCTCTTCGTTCCAAACCAAAGAGGATCCAGAAGTGACCCTGTTTTGTGCTCCTCAAGCTCTGTGCACCTTCATCCATCAGTCTTCTCTGTCTCCGTCTTCTCTCCTTATGAAGGATGAGGGCATGTGTGCGTCTGTGTCTGTGCGTGGGTGTGAGTGTGATAGTGTGTGTGTGTGTGTGTGTGCGCGTCCAGGCCGGCTGAAAACATTCACAGGGAGATCCCGCTCCCCCGGCTGCCTGTGTATGCATGTGAGTGTGTGTCTTTTCGTTGACCTCTCCATCTCTCTCTTTATCGCGCTCCGTCTGATTCACACCAGCATGTGTCTCCGTCGGTGCAGGGCCAAGTGGTCAGATCTGGAGAAGCTGCGGTCACAGTCTGCACACTTGAAGGGCTTCACCCCTGTGTGTTTCCTGTAATGCCTCGTCAGCTCATCAGAGCGGGCGAACTTCCAGGTGCAACCGTCCCAGGTACACTTGTATGGCTTTTCACCTGGAAAGGAAGTCAGAAAACACAGTCCATGTTCAGTCGCATTTCCGGCAAATTAATTTGGAAAATCTGCACTTGATGAGTGATAATCCATGAATTACCGCTAACCTAATGTCCACTTTGGTAGTGCACAAGTCGCACAAGTTTCAAGAATCTATATAACTCACTAAAATGGTATGGATGTCTGATGAGATATTACAGAAAATATTTAAACACAAAAAAATTACAGGAACATATAAGTCACGCATCAGATTTCGACAGGGAAATATTCAATTTGAAAGTCTTCACTGAAAGACTGTGGAAGCACAAAATGATGCAAAAGCCTGGATTCAAAGTCACGGCAAAAAAGAAACATGAATATTCTGAGCAGTCTATACTGTTGGACCTCAAACTGGCTTTAAAGTCTATATGATTTCCAGTGAATAAACAGCAAATTGCTGTATATTGGCTAAACAACTGATATGCTATATTCTATAACAGGCCAGGAGCCGACACCTTTGCTACCCATAAGTCAAAATTTAGGGTTATTATCTCAAAAATTTCAAAAAGTTGCCTTTCTAACTCAAACCTCTGAGAAAAATCACTCAAAATTTAGAAAATAACTTGAAATTTCCAAGTAATTAAATTGAAATTTGGAGAGAATAACCTCAAATTTTGACTTTAGATGGCAAAATGTGTCTTTTTTTTTTCCATAGAAACCTTGTCAAATAAAAAAAAGTCTAATTGTGGACTGAGGTCAGAGACCTTTTACAGGGAAAGGCATTTTCCATTATCCTAACAGCTTAATGTTCACTGCTTGTCAGCTAGTGCGCTGGCTGAAAAGTCAGGCTTTGCAGCAGCCTGAGAGAAATGACTGATTTTATAACGTGAGGTGTCACAATCATCAAAGATCTACACGGTTGGGGTAATGAACGCAACATGCTTATTTCATTTGCATAAATGGTCTCCATATGTGTATATGCACTTAATCGTGATATGCCACAGTTCTTTTCTTTTACGACTCTACTGCGAGACCAATTCTTTAAATAATGCTTGACCATTAAAAAAAGTGTGCAGAGTAGTAACGTTCTTCTCAATGTGTGAACAGAATAATGTATAATTTCTTGTGTGGTGCTATAACGTTGTGCCAGGGAGCCATACAATTTACAATCAGTATACACCTTTTGCTTAAAGCAGACTCTGAGGCTTGAAATGATTTAAGGAAGCTATAACTTCAGTGTCCGTCCACAACAACGGGAGATCGTTTCAGTAGGAACGGCTGTAATTGTTTTAGCACTTTTCATGAAATAAATCATGTTAAGGACAATTCAGCCTTCTCAAAAAGTAATTAAAATGTTCCAAGATGCCGTATGCTGTCTTGTCTTACTGCGTTCATGAGACAGATAAGAATAAGTTTAGCTGCTCAACGCTCTTCTTCAGTGAGTCAAGACTCTAAAGTGGTTTTCAGCAGTAACTTTCTCAAAATGTGAAATGCCACCTCACTTAGACTTAAACAAATAGCATTTAACAGCATCAAAATAAAATAACAGCATTTCACAACAACTGTTCTCACACGTAGATTTACTGACCTGTATGCGTCCTCCGGTGTGCTTTTAAATGCGAGCTTTTGGTGTACACCTTATTGCACCCCTCAAAGTCACATCTGTGGATTCTTCTCTTTTTGGAATCCGGTGACTCCGACCTCCGAGGACGCCGTATGCTGTCGATACTGAACGGGGACATGGAACTGCAAGGAGGACAAAAAGTAGCAACAGATAACATTATTAGAGTCTGATGATGTCTTTGTCTTCTTCCGTGATAAAGAGCAGTTGTTGAAAGTTTTGAAGAATAAGTCAGTCATTTTAATTAAAGTTTGCAGTGCATTTCAATTCAAAACCTGCTGAAGAATATTCCAGTGTTTATTTAACTTGCATTATTGCACCATTTACCATTTCAGTTTCAGTTTTCAGTTTTATTTGTCATATGCAAGTTAGCACAGGGTCAACATTGCAATGAAATGTGTTTGACGAGGAGCAGTCACTCAGCAGCATGGTACAGTAGAAGAAAATATAATAAAATATAATAAAATAAAATAATAAAAAAAATAGAAAAATAGTAAAGAGCAAAATATTAGAGAGACGTGGTAAAAGAGAAAAGATGACTAAATATATATGTATCTATAAATATAAATATATGTACACTAGTGATTAAATAAGAAAATCTTGAAAAGAAATATGACGGGAGGGCAGATGGGATATTGCACAGGAATGAGCAGCAGAAAATTACAGTATTGCACTTTTTAAATATAAATATTAATAACAATAAAGTGGCGTGACCAGTGCAGATTAAACAGAGTACTTGTGAAGCTGCAAGGTAGCTTCTGAGTGCGTCCTGTGGAGTGTGTGTGTTTAAGTGTTGTGGTTGAGGTGTCGTATGGCTTGGTGGTAAAAACAGTTTTTAAGTCTTGTAATCCGAGCAGACAGACTCCTGTAACGTCTGCCAGATGGTAACAAGGAGAACAGCTGATGATGAGTTGCAATAAAAGGTTTAAGTTTTTGTTTTATGCAACCAAAAGAACATAAAACATAACCGTCATACCGGCTGTAACGTCACTAGTTATTGTGTTAAGAGAGGAAAAGGTGTGTAGATAAAAGACAGACTGGTATTTACAAAGTGCTTTTGTGTGCTTAGTGAGAGCTCACTACGCATTTACACTGGAAGCACAAAGACGTTCATACAGCACTTTGCTTTATGCGCTTGATCTAGAGCTCACAGTCACACAATTTGAGGTTCATCTTACCCAAAGACATTTCAACATGTCAGACTCTAGGAGTCAAACCACCAGTCTTCTGATTTGTGGATGATTTTGATGCCCTCAATAAGTACAACCATTTTATCTCTTTCTTGTAAAAAGTAGTGCGTTTCTAAACGGAATCAACATATATGTATTTTTGAAATGCAAAAAAAAAGACAGTATACAGTGAATATTGAAAGATAGACACGTTGAAGGTGGCAGAGCAGCAGCTTTGCCAGCAGGTGGCAGTGCAACTCTACTTAAGTACCTCTGAAAAAGTATGTAAGGTAAGAGGGCTGATATTCGTATGGTTCCAATACTATTGTTAAAGCAAAAGTGGTGAGATGAAGAAGTTTTTGTCTTTTTTAAAATCTCTGTGTTGTTGAGTCAGTTTAACAGCTTCTGAGTGATTTATGTACTCATTGCATTTTGGCATTTCCTCTCCAACAAGCAGTCAGTATCACCGTCTACTGTATTTGTCATTGTGAAGCAAAGCTGCAAAGTGTGTGCCTGTGTCAGTGAGCATGTGTGTGCGGTTTCACATGCATGTCTGACTTGCCAGTGTTTGTGAGCGCAGTTGCAGAGTACAGTCATCATATCTGTAGTTAATCTGAATGTACTGTCATCTTTGTGTTCTGAAGGCAGCGCTGCACACAAGCACACAACCCAGAGAGAAATCCAGAAGGCAGCAAGAGGCGGTCAGAAGTTCATGCCTCGCCCATGATTGTTGACTGTGCAACAGTGAGCACCTTTTTACACAACACATGACTCGTGCACACAGCCGGCAAACTGGCGAGAAAAACCGAGATACGATATTGAGCGAAAACAAGAACATCTCTGTTTTGTAAAGGGGGGAGGAGTGATATATTTGGGATATATTTAACAGGGTTCTCTGCTTATGCTGTGAGGCTCGGAAACAGGTAAAAGGGTGAAGTGGGTAAAATTAAAGCAGAGTAGCGGGAGGAGGAACTGCTAAAATCATGTCAGAGGAACAGGGGCTGCCAGACAGGCCCTCCAGTGAACTGTCTCCACCGCACACAACCCACTTCCTGTCTCTCTGTTTTACACCAAAGCACAGTCAAATGCAGATACAGTATACACGCACAACAAAGATACACACATAGCTATACGCAGGCTATATAAATACACTGAAACAGAAGCGCACGAATGCATACAGATCACCTGTTACTCTTGGCTTACTGCCAAACTGAAGCTGTACAGGAAATGAGCACACGGGTCAGATATGAAGTGAACTCCATTTCCCCTCTCATTTCTCTCTCTCTCTCTCTAAGCTCAGGGAATATCGCACTGTAACGTGATGACAAAACAAACGAAGAATTTAAGACGAAGAGTTAAACTCCTTTTCTCAAAATGATTGATGAGTTTCCCGCATCACATATAATCTAGATGAAAATTTAGAGGGCCGTTTAGAGTCAGAGGTGCTGCAGAACTCTGCGTGTGTGTCTGCCCGGGAAAGTAAAGAGAAGAGCCAGTGGAAACACTCTGAGCTCAGACCATCGAGCAGATGAGGCGGATGTTTACATTCTGACTTCATCCATGAAGTGACTTCATGATTATGATATAATTTAGGAAGGTCTGAGTACAACAGCTTCTAAAACAAAGAACAAGCAACCATCATAAATTATTTCACCGAATACAACGCTGCTGCGTTTCAAGAGCTCAGTGACAGATTGGTGTAATCAGTAGTGGGAGTATTTATAGACGTTTTGTGCATCTGCAAAAAAAAAAAAAAAAAATTAAGTGAGAAATGTTCCAGTTCTCAAAGAAGAACGCCCATTGCTCACCACCGCTCACCAGTGACATAAAGGTAAACAGTGGAAAACTTCTAATCCCACTTAAATGACATTTTAATGATTCAAGTGAGGAAATTGGGTCACAACAAAAAAGCCAGTGAGCAGAATTCAGTGCATAATTGAAAAATAGCCATAAAAGTTCAAGGCTTAAAGAGAACTGAATATGAAATACTGTGACAGAGTTATTACTAGACCTACTGATTTACGCTCCTGCTACACACTCACAATGAATACACGTACAGTCATGCGATTTGCCTGATTATTACTATTATATAATATATGACGATTTTGATAACCTGATAGATGTCAATTAAGAGCATTTAACAAGAAAAAAAAGTGGCAGGAATTCGGTGCTTTTCAACAATAGCGTTGTAAACGCACAAGAAGTCTTCACTTTTACTACCTCATTATAGATGCACAAATAAATTTTGTCATTTTTAAAAATCTAATAATAATCCCAAATGCAAGAAAGCACACAAAATGTATCTCTTTGGATCTTTCATGCTTATAATGTAGTTCTTGTGTGACTGCGAATTGGTTATATTTTCTCATTAGAGCCCAGAGGAAAACTCACTCTGCCTTGAACCCTGAGTCACCGCAGCATAATGCTTGTATGAATGTGTCTGTTTGTGTCTCCCGAAGTAGCAGAAAGAAATGGGAAGTACAGCTGAGAATAATTTCAAACAGAGCTAACCTCTGTTTTTGTTCCTTTGTTTCCCCTCCCCTCATCATCCGCTGGGCTCTACACATACGACAGAAAGACGGGGAGCATGGGGAATGAGTGTGTGTCACCTGCATTAGGGATTTCCCACAATACAAGCACAATACATGTTTCTAACTCCTCACCCGCAACGGGGTCACAACACCGGCTTGAGCACAGCAACAGCACGACCTGCTTCAAGGCACTGGTGGAATTATCAAGAAAACAGGAAAGGGAGTGCTCAAGTTTGTGTATGTGTGCGCTGGAACACTGCCCACCGGGCATTCCTGTACCTGTCCGAGGATACTACCCCTCACCTCGCCCACATCTCCTCCCTCCACCTGCTCTCTGGCCCCCCAGGTCCTTGGGGACCCGCCAGACTTCAACAGAGACAACCCTCCCAACACAAGCCCCTGCCCCCAGCCTCACACACCTCTCCTCTCTGTCTTCCTCTCTTTCACTCGCGCTCTCCCACAATAGCCTATCCTCTGATCCCCAGGGAAACGCATGAATATGGAGGAGGCTGACCAAGTAGCACATGATACACACAAACTCGCTCTCTACCCAACTCTCCTTTCACTCATTTATTTATGTATGGATACCTGGATTGGAGGCTGCAGGCACTCCCGTCCTCCGCCCTTACACCTCACCTCTCTGAAGCACTCTGGGTGACTGCTTGTGTAAATGTGGCTGCCAAATTATGTAAAGCTGCTCTTTCCACAAGCGCGGCATACACATTTAAATGAAAAGAAAGGCAATATAGAGACGCAGTGGACTGATATGTTTATAAGTCGGCTTCTGTTGCGGTGCAGATGTCCATCGAGTGCATGTGCTATGTCAACACACAACGCACATTCTTCCTCTCTGCGGCCAAACCGGCGTGTAACTCAAGAAGACTACAGACTGCTTTGTTTTTCACAGACAAACATGCAAGTCTGTGTTCCTGTTGACAATGGCTGACCTCCTTCTGGAACCAGCTGTTCTGTCCACTGTGCAGAAAACACGTGCATGCATACAGTACAAAACACGCACACACACACCGGAGGATTAATACTTACAGAAGTGCACACATACTTTTTTTTCACACTAACACACATGCATGCACAGTCACAGTCACATACACAGCGTGCACACAGGAGTTTCCACACAGCACAGTCTGCACTTTGCACACAGAGAAGTGAGTGTGTGGGCAGGCCCTGGCAGGGCAATGCTAACCCTGGCTGGTGATTTATCGCCATAGTGAAAGCTTGGGCTGTGAAAGGTTGTGTCCTGCCAACCTCTGTTCTCCTCTGACCACCCGGTGCCCACGTGTGGCACTCAGGGGCACGCCTGTCCCTTTCAATAACCTGCATCGAAACCTGAGTCCTCCGGTGCGTGTGTGCTTGTGTGTGTCTGAAGCACAGCAACCTATACTTGTACCCCTGAACCACAGCTTTACTATTATGTGCTGTACTTTGGAACTACAATAAAACATTTAGGTTAATTACAGTAGATGGTCACACAGCCAATGGATGACAAACAAACAATACAACATCTAGTACAAAATGTCAAACCTGCCAGCTAGAACATTACAAAACACAGTGAGTGCCGGCAGCCTTGTTAATGTCGCTACGGCATTAGCAGGATTCTCAAGGAGTCCTGGAATACTTTCCTTACAGTTAGTCTAAATAAAAGTCTGATGGGTATTAACTTGAGTCTACCCAGGCTGGCAATTATGACTGTTCTGGGTTTATGAGCAGCAGCGCAACAAGGACAGGGCCGAGCCAAATGCTTCTCTGCATCTGATTTCCTCCCTCTGATAAGAATTCTATACGCTGTCGTCAACTTTTCATTTCAACACAGATGGACTGGCACGGCAGGAGTTGATGTCTGTAGGCCGAACAGGGCATAAAGTATGTCTGAGCCATATGCATACAGGCATATAGATGCACGCCCACGCAGACACATCCAAAGAGTGGAAGAGCGGTTACAAAACCACACGGAAATGCACAATGCTAAGGATTACAATGGATCTGATAATGACGCCCTCCTCCAGGGAGTCACAAAAACATATTAGTACTCTGTGCTCTGTCTATTCAGAAATTCAAGACTGCAACATCACTGGCTTGGATGACTAAAGGGATTTTTTTTTTTTCAATTTTACCATATTAAATCCATTGAAGATGATTTAATTTTCAAAATAAAAGCCTCTAATAAATGTGTGCACACATGATAAGATGTTATATTATAAAACATATTTACGTGTATTAAGTTTCATGCATTATTTCTGTGAGCTGTTTTTTTTCCCTTTATGCAATGCAGAGTGCTACTTATTTTAATAAAGAGCTCTGCTGTGCTGTCATTATTAACTATTTGGCTCAGTAATAAAGCAAAGTAACAGTAGTTCGCATAAATTTGCTTTCCCCAGCACTAACAATAATGCACCAGTGCACCAGAACAAACTGAAACTTTCATATAACCAAATTTAACACCGGTCACTGGTAAAGAACGCAAAAACCAAAGCCACATACTTCTGAGCATCTTGTTGTCATAACTCCGACCCAACTCATGACAGAGATCCACATTTGATTTATGGCTTTAAAGTTAGCGAAGAAAAAAAAGTCAGCGCCAGGATTTCCGGCGTGTGTTCAAGAAAAAAAATGAATATACTCACTCTTGTACAGCACGGGCTATAGACAGCGCGGTAGAGCCGGTCTCATTAACACTGTCCAAGGTCACGTTTGGCAGGTCATCGTCATCGCTGTCACTTTTGATCTGCCTTGGCGACAGGCCGTTGGGGTCTATGTGTGCTGTGAGGATGGGAAACAGACATGGGAGACAGACACATGAAACTGGAGCTGGCGCTGTAAACTTATAAGGCATATCACATTGTGCGTCTTTCTAATTGTAATGAAGTAACTCCTTTATATACAATTTCATCCGAATAACCCCAAAAGTATTCTTTTGTGTGCCATTATTTAGCATACTGTATGCAGTAGCTGAGCGTGAGTTGAGATGGCCTCAGTACTTGCCAGTATTTTCTCTCAGGAGCTGTCAATCAAACGAAACATTTAACTGGAGGACAGAACAGTCGACCGTGACTCTGTACCCAGAGGTTGCGTACTTACAGAGTAGCATGCGAAAAGGACACACGTGTGCACATAATCTCTATCTGCCTCCAACCACAAAGATAAGACTACAGGGTGGAGCACTGTTTAGCTGTTGTTGCCTGTGAGCAGCGTGTGAAAACATTCGCGCATTTGTTACTGTTTCCAACTTAAAAGAACATGTGCACGCATGAGAGCAACTGTGAGCATCTGGTCCTCTATACAGTATGCACACCTGAAATAGAATCATATTCATCATAGCGACGAACCTATACACAACACCTGAAGAGATCAGCTGCTAATTTCTTCAACCTCGAAAATTAACAAGCAAACTGTATATGTGGGTGCTTGTTTCCTTTTGGACAACATGGACCAAAACCATGAAAAACAAGGAAAAAAAGACCACAATGCTGTTGAACCATGACCCTCTGAGCCAGTGAGCTCAGTGGTTTCTGTCTCTTGAGCTACGCAGTAAGGTTACATCTATTCCACAAGCTGTGAAAACTTGTCCCTTGGACAGCTCATCAGATATGCTGCCAGAGCCTGGAGCCATTCTGTCCATTCTTTCTCTTTCAGCCGACAGATGCGGCGAAAATCCCGGATAACACAATAAATTAATATCAGAAGAAAAAAAACAAAGACATGCTGTAGATGGAGAATTAGCAGCAGGGCATTCTAATACAGCACTTAAAAAATGTACACTGTTAACGGTTCTGTAAAGGCTATTCTTGCTTAAAATCACCGGAAACACTGAATATACGGAGACATACAGTATTTTCCACTGAGGTCTACAACATCCCCATCTACTGTAAGCCAGGGTGCTTTTATAAGCTATCAGGACTTCACCTTCTCTGCCCTCTCAGCTGAGACTGTGGCCATAATGGCCCATAATAATGGTCTAGAGTTAGGAGCAGACATGGTGTTATTACTGGAGGGGTGGGTTGGACACAGAAATAATGCTGTAACTCAGTTGGAGCTTTTGCTTTTAAAGGTTTCTGCTGTTGTTGTAGACTAAGACATGCAGAGTGGTCACCAGCTCGCCGAACCCTATGGAAAACCTGTAATTAACTAGAAATACATCGCGTTTTGGAAATGGGGATTGGAGGGTGGGGGTATTTTGAACTAGGGACACAAAGGAGGAGTGGTGGAGAGGTGGGCAGAGCAGCGGATTTCTTCCTTTCTCTCCTGTTGTTTCCAGTCAAGCCCTGTTTCCATGGCAACCTCCTACCGGAGACAGGGAGACAGCAGTGAAAGAAAGGGTACCCGCCTTCTCTGAAAGAGGATGGCCAACCTGTGTATGTATGTGAAAAGCGAGTGAGTGTGCACCTCATATCTACGCTGAGAACTTTAATAATCGCATTAAAGTTTTCTTGGTGGGGGGTGGGAGGGGGGCTGGATTTAGTTCGGGATTTGCCTAATGTCAACAACTTATTTGTTTAACCACCGGCCAGTAGTGACACTTGAAATTCCAGATAAGGCAGGGACAAAAAAACTCTCTCTATATATAGATGGATAGACAGATATAGATATTTTTCCTATGGCTTTAATTCATTGTTGATTTGGCTTTGATGGTGGAATGTTGGATTTTGTAGACATCATATTAAATGCAATAAATAGCCAAATGTTCTGGTTCTCAACCGTTTGCACTCTCATTAAAAGTAACTGCGTCCACCACACCCAGCACTCATTCACCCCGTTTCCTTTGTGCTGGGTGCGTTCAGAGCCGGGCACTGCTGATGTTGCTCTGTGTATGTGTGTGTGGATGCGTCTGCTTGAGTGCCACCCATCTTCAATATCCATCCACACCCTATTATGCAAGTCTTGTTTTTCCCTATCCTTCCTTCTTTTCCTCTCTCCTCTCCCTGGGAGCTGACATCTAGCATTTTAAAAAGCAAAAAAAAACAACAACCAAAAAAAACAAAAAAACGCCCATCTCTGAGGACCACCCCAACCAGCCGGCCGAGTGTCTGTTTGAGCACATGCTCTAATTACATATCATTGCTTGTTTGCTTGTACGTACTGTACATGCACGGGTGTGAGCCTTAATGTGTCTATTCCTTCTGCAGGGAGTGAAAAGAAGCAACCTTTTTTTACAACCAACAGTTGCCCTGTGTACAGCTCAGACTTGGACAGAAACACCTACTGTAGGCTCTCATCCAGTGGTTGGCAGTAAAACCACACCCAGAGAGAAAACCAACAACACATCCAATGCAAGGCCGGAGAGGTCTAACTCTCAGACTACCCCAGACTTCTGCTTCTTGACAGAGGGAAAGCTACCTGCACTGGAGGCTATTAAACACAAACAAGGCGTTCAAGCTCTAAGCCTTATCTTCCCTCTGAAGGGGCAACATTTTTGCCCGAGAGGCCATTCTGAAAGCATGGACATGACAGTCTGCCTTCTCAGCAATGTGTTGACTAAAGACAGAGCAGAACACCTGCCAGATAACAAACCACACAGCTTATCACTGAGCTTTCCCCCTCTAACATTTCAAAATCCTCAGTGCTAAATGTCAGTTTGTGCCATCCCTTATATCTAACCCAGGTGCAGCCAAAAAAACTTCTGTAATTGTTCCCAGAGAAAGCTGCGAGCGGTTTCTCTATTCATACACCTCTTAGTAAGAATACATTGAAGCTTATTATGATTATAACCTATTTTAAGTGAGTTAACGGATTTAAAAGTAATATTTCTCAAAAGGTAGCGCCTAAGAACAGGTACCAGCACTTTCAAACTCTTAAATGTCCTATTAGAGGTTTCACCCAATCTGGATTAGTATCTAGGTCACATGGTTGAGGTGAGTGGTCATCCTTCAGTCAGGCTGATCAGGAATCATGATGGCCACAAGTGGTGAAACACGCCAACAAGGTGGTAAGCCATTACATTTTTAAATACAATTGTAATTTTCAATAAAACAAAAACGTGATTTCCTAATTAAAACTCACTGGTGTAGAAGAAAAATTGACCTTAAAAAGTACGCAATTCAATTCAGAAACTTTTGAAATATATGTATCCCTGAGATACATTTTAATCTGAAAAACGTGGTAATACTAGCTCCAAACACAGAAATTGCATTATGAAAGTATTGCTTTATCTTTTCCTGCAGGGCATCGCAGGTAGCTCATTTTGTAGGAAAGAAAGAAAGTGATTAGATTGATCCACGCAAGCCTTTCAGACTTTGAGCTCAGTGATAAAGGCGTTGAGAGATAGTTGCAGTGGTTTACACATTTGCCATAGATGTGAAAAGACCCCCAGTTTGAGATCGGGAGGAGTCACAGGCTGGCGTACTCCTAGGGCCGGTTCCAATCACAGATAATCGAGAGGGTTGCGTCAGGAAAGGCGTCTGGTGTAAAATCGGTGCCAATTCAAACAAGTGAATCCATTCGCTGTCGTGACCCCTTGGGAAATAAGGGAGCAGCTCAAAGTCCCCCCCCCCCTCAAGATATAGCTCTACTGCAGAGGTAGAGGATAGAAGTCCAAAAACCCTCAGTGGATTTAGGTTGTGGTAAGCCTACACAGTATTTGTAATGTAATGGCCAGGAGAAGCTAGAATATGTAACTTCTCTTTATTGAATCTAACATTAAATTGTTTATCATTTTGACTTTGTTACACCATAGGGCAACATTTCCTTATAAGTACGTCTTAGAACATGCAAAATACACCAAAACAAGATGTGGGGCTAGAGTTTCACACGCGCCCAGGCTGCTCAGTAAATATAAATGTAATAAAAAAGGCAGCAGTTCAAAACCTGAATCATAGTTGAACTTTTTGCAGTGTATCTTATTAAAATAATGACAGAGCTTTAATAGAAATCCCAACAGAACAAAGTTAGCTGTATAAATATAGAGCAAATTCAGCGAGCAGGGTCTCACCTTTGCCCTGGCTTTTGGCCTCATCCAGCAGAGGTAGCATGATGGCATTGTTGAGGCTGGAGGGTGATCGAACGGCAGTGGTGTACATGAGGGGCAGTGACTGTACCACAACTGGGATGCGGTGAACATGGCTGGCGAGCTTCCCGGCTCCCTGCAGGCTCAGAGGGCTGGATGGAGGCGGAGGCACAGAGTGCAGGATGTGCAAATATGGCTGACCTCTCACCCCAGTTCCCGGGGCAACCAGAGGGCCCGATGTGAGCACCGACGAAGCTGAGGTGATAACAGATGGAGAGGAGGAGGAGGAGGATGACGACGATAACGAAGACGGGGAGAAGGCGGATCTGAGGGGGGATGACGATGAAATCGTGGTGGCGGATGAAGAGGAGGGGCGGGGTTTGTTGATGGACAGGTCGACGGGCTCGGTCTGCGTGTGGAAGTGCAGGTCGTGGGCGAGCAGGTCTTCGGGAGGTTCCGGTTTAACTCTGCTGAGGAAAAAGGGGACGCCGTCCATCGCAGTGTAAGGGCGCACTTTGGGTGACTGTGGGCGTAAGAGAGACAGTGATGTTTCAGTTTAATGCCACAAAATACATTAACCTCAAAAGACAGAGTGTTTCTATGGCTGAAATCCAAGGTCTAATAGTTTTTGTGGAAATATTTGTTATGAAACACAAATACAGAGCAAAATATTCATTTAAGAGTTCAACTTCTCCCGTGAAGCTCTTCAACTGGCATGATGTCACGCACAGAAATGCACGAGTAAAGATAACGTCTCTAAAACTCGCCTCCTTTCGCTCCCTCGTTCTCTTCTCCTGCCCTGGGTTGCACTCTCTCTTTTTCTCCTGTTTTCCATGACTCCCACACAAACGCAGCTCTCTTGGCTCCCCTTGTCTCTCTCTTAAATCTCCTTTGTGACGGTGAAAAAACATCATATGGGCTCAATTTCCTGACCGTCTCTCTCCGTCTCTCAGAAATGGGCCTCCTAAGGCCAATGCTGGTGGCTTAGCGTATCCCTCAACACATCTTTCACTTAACACCAAGCAGACTGTAACACAACCTCTCCATCTGTCTGCACACGTTTCAGGAACCTGTTTACTTGGAAAAGATAATAGAGAACACACACGGTAGAAAAAGTGACGCTCACCCTGCTACTATTTGCTTCTTAGGGCTCCCATACTTTGGCCCCTTTACTTGATATCGCGGTCTTTGTTCTAATGTCAGATTAGCCGAGTTGCATGTGATGCGGCTGATCTCGGCTCACTCTGCTCAACGTGGGTGCTGCAAAGTGTGGTAAGCAGTGTTGATCCTCACAGTGGAGCCTTTCAGAGGCTGAGTCACAGTTAGTGCCATCAGGGAGCGAGCACGTCCAGGATTTTTTTTAAAAATAATCAAACAGGAAAAGCTCATTAAAATTAAATGGAAAAAAAAATCACTCCAATAGCAGCTGCAGGAGAAATGAAAAAATGTTCTCTAATGTGGGTTTTCATGCTCACTTTTGTTTTCAGAGACTCGCATTTCTTTTTCCTTATGTAATGCTGACTGAGAGTCGATCTGCGGTGAATTACGAATTTTTCTGAGTGGTGTGTATGGGTGTTCTTTTATGTAGTAGCTTACTATTTTTACTCCAGACTTGTATACTTGTTTTCAGCCTACAGGAAGTGTTACAACCCCATGAATCAAACAAAAAAAAAAAAAACTTCACGCAGCGTAACTCCTCTTCAGTTGGAAAACAAACCATGCCCCATGAAAAATGCTTTCTGATGAACTCTGAACCTCAGTGGGGTTCAGCTCAGAGTCACTGGTGTCGTGTCAAGATCCACAGTAAAATATGGTCTGGGTCATTACCCACCACCGATTTCAGGCATGAGCCTTCACAGCATTTCGTTTGTGTTATTCTTCAGGGGTATTGCTTCAAAAAAAAAGCTCAATCATGCTGTTTATTAAGAAAATGGAAGACATGATCAGTTCTAGTGTACTGTGATAAAGATAACATCACATCTCCTTCATTTTTGTCAGTATTATTCAAACAGAGACACTTCCCTAAAGGGGCTGATGAATCGTTATAAAGTTCTCCTCTTTTAAAAGTTATTCTCAAAGAACGAGAGCGACCTACAGGCACATATAGAATATTTAGATATTCTAAAGCAAATATCAGTAAAGGCTTCAGTAGAAGCAACTTAGATCGTTGCGAATCCACAGTGGCATAAGGCTGCCAGCACAGCGACAATGAGAGCGTCATACAGGTTCCCTTCTACCTTTTCTGTTACGATCGAACTTGTGGGCGTCATCACAAAGAGGAAGATGAAACCAAAGTTTACAAATAAGGTTTTGGTTTTTTGGTTAAAGAAATATGGTGCAGTGATGAAGTGCAAAAAAGAGTAAGAAGATAAGAGAAGCTATGAGAGAGCCACAAACTCTATCAGCAAGAACAGCGATCAGTATCCGGCTGTGCATGTTTGAGACAATAAAACCCGTGCACCACTGAGAGACTCCGACACTGTGGGGATGTTATGGGCAGCGCACAACAACTTTTTTGATACTATTTGAGTATTCAACTGTTAGATTTGCAGCTAATTAAAGAGCCACTGGTGTGAAAGCATAAACCAAACCAAACGGCTGATGATGTACATGTACAATAACAATAAAGAGATTTTCTATTTTATTCTATTCTAAAACACGTTTTTGGTACTTAGAGGCAAAGAAACGGAATACACTTGTATTCTTAAACATGCTTCAGGCTACATTTATACGCACAGATGGATACATAAACCTATCATTTTTATACAAACAACCTCAAGTGAGACGGATGACGCTTGCATTGCTTTGCTTAATAAAAGTTACACTCTGTTGAGTCTCCATGCTAGCAATGTCTAGATTTAAACAAGCACGTCCCTCCTTTAGGTTATTCAAATTCACATTTTATATTTTTCGTTTGTTTGTTTGATTTTTTTTATGGTTGAGTGTCTGCTATCTAGTGGCTATATCAGGAATTTACCCAGACAAAATTATCTAAATAAATTTCACACAGAGTTAAACATTAACCGTCATCTCTACTTTGTCTTGCATCAGTCTGACGTAGCCTTTCTTGGCTGAGCCTCGGGCTACCATCTAGCTGCTTTTGCACATGGTCTCTCTGTGTTCCCATTTTTGTGTATAGAAAGCGAGTGTCACAGTCTGCCCGAAGCTATACCGCCTGTCGGCTTTGAAGCCGTTAGATTCACCGAGGCTAATCTCAGTGTTTTGAAAACAGTGTCTTTCTTAGTAAGTGTGTGTAGCCCACTCCTAAAATTATGTAGTATTAGCAGGTCTTCTTACCAGTTAAAGACATTGAAGTATCTCATGTGGTAAAGTGCAGAATGAATAATGTTATGAATAAAACAGATATACTGCCCCAGTCCTAAATGTTGATTGTTTAGGACAATCAATGAAATGGAATTTTTCTGGCAATATCTTCCCAAGTGCTTTTTTAAAAGAGCAAAGAGTTTTCAACATAGCATTTCTAAACATACTAGTTTTCTTTGGAAAACAGAAATTGTTTCTATTTGTCACAAGAAATATTTCAGAAAAACAAAAGAAATTGGTTTAGACTATTGACGCTCACAAAGTAGAAGACCCATATAAAAAGTTATCACAACATTTCCTGGTGTTAAGAACAGAAATCAAAAGAAATTGAAAGAGTCACAGAGTACAGAAGAAGCCTGGTCGAAGTAAGAAGTTAAAGATTTCAAAGCCTCTGAAAGAAAACTAGTGAGAGTTGGTGTGTAAAGACTCCAGAACGACTACCGAGGCACCAGTGAATGACTTAACCCATTTGGGAGAACAATAACTAGAAGCAGGCACAACAATGGATGAAACTAGAGTGCTTTGGCTACTTTCAACATGGCAACGACCCAAAACATACGGTGAAGAGCTCCCTCCAGAAGACCAACGTGAGCATTATTGACTGGCCTGTGCAAAACCCTGACTTGAATTCTACTGAAAATCTGTGTGATGAACTGAAGACCAATGTCCATGCCAGAAGATAATCACATAACAGGCTGGGATTGCTCAGGAAACATCAGAGAAGCTTGTTGAAAACGACAACCAACGACTGCAGGCTGTTAACCAGCAAAAAAACAGGACACACGGTTGACTATTGACGTCAGAGGAGCTAATCATTTTGACCGGGTAGTTTGGCGTTGCGTTGAATGTAAGCATCCAAAATAAGGCTAGGCTGTTTGGACAAGCTGTGTTAAAAATTCCTTTCTCTGTTTAACAGTACTTTGGAAATACTTCTGAACTAAAACTAAATTTTCATAGGGAGGTCTAATAATTCTGTCTGCATTTGTGTATGTTTGTAATGACAGTGCACTTGGAAAGTGTCCTATAAACAAAGACTAGTTGGCGCTCTAACAATGACATTTCCTTTTTAAATAAAATACATATACACTGTTTCTTAAAAAAAACTTTACTTATCTGTTAATTTATTTATAAAGTAGTTAAAAGTAACTTAATGTACTAGATGGTAAGTGAGCAAATTGCACTACAATAAATAATCATATGGCACGAACTCAGTTTACAGCAAGACATCAAACATGCCACTTACAGAAAAGTATACTTGCAACACTATTACAAGCCTATAAAAGTAAATCTACTGCTTTTTTTAGTCCATTGGTATTATACCTTTTGATTCCATTCATTTGTAAGTGCTGCCGTAATGTTGAGAAGTAAGAACTCTATTTAAAATTCTCTCGTCAAAATATTAGAACGGTCTATACATAAACAAAGCATGCAGAAACGAAAGTTCTGCCTTTTTTTCTTCTTCAAACACAACTCAACAGAAATGGAAAACTTAAGCCACCCCTACTCTCACTTTGACAGATACAAACCCACACATGCTTACAAACCTGACACACATACAGCAAGAGCCGCTCAACCTGCCTGCCTGCCTCCGTCCTCATGCCATTGTCTTTATTAGGGGATAATGGTTAGCGGGGCAGATTTTCCAGCCCCTTGCAGGCGAATTGTCTAACGAGGCAGACCATTTCCAGCAAGCCCTTGGCCCCACGCCACCCAAATGAAGACCACATTTCTGCAGCAGCCTAAACTGTCTGTCTGCCTCTGCCATCTAAAGGGAAGCTCGGTCTGTTAGGGCAAGATTGGATCTTAGTGCACTTCAAAGCTGTGTGGGCTGCAGTGCTCACATCCTGTCTGTGACTGACATCATTACAAGGAGAATGATTTCAAACCCAAGGTATGAGGTAGCAGCGCAAGAGCCTAGCTCTCAAACCCTTAAGCCGCAGCTGAGGAAAGGACACCCAGAAAGTAACCACCTGCTCCCTCTATGCCAATTCCTTAGATGTGGAGATTCAATTCTTATCAACACAAACCACCTCCACAGCCAAACAATTCTCTGCAAGGCCTCCAAGATAACCTGATGGGTTATCAGCAGCCCGTATTTTTCTCATCCATCACAGGTTAATGCTCCCAGGTTCATCTCAACAGAAACTATTCCGTTATCCCACAAAGTGATCTTGGTGATTTATTAGAAAGCTAAAAATGTTATTGATAGGTTATGAATGGAAATCAATAATAAGTGAATTCTAATTCATCACGGTTACAAATATTAAGTGGTCTGCGCCCACTACACACACAGCTATGCCAGCAACACAGAGCCCTTGTAACCTAGCAACAGCTTCACCATAACAAGACCACTTTATTTCTAGGTACGTCAGACCAGAGAGCACTGATACTGTATGTGGGCCATGAAAAGCTTACGCGAGGTGCCTCTGTTATACATAACATGATCAATACATTTAAATGAACTCATGAAAGTAAATTGTTCTATGTAGCCGATCGGGTAAACAAAGTTATTACAGATTTGCTGGTGGAATTTTTAAACTGCGCTCACATGGACTTGTAGTGACAAGCTCTTACTCTGTGTAGAAACACCACGGAGGTGACATGGAGCTCTGTGAGAGAGCAGAGGCATGCAAAGGATACAACAAAGCAGCAGATGAAGCCGTAATAGTGTGTGCAGAGAAGGAGTGTGGCATGCTGTGTTGTTTGTCTGCCTGTATTAATGTGTGCATGTGTTTTTGTGAGAAACCCCAGAGGGAGGATAAAGGAAAATTGAGAGATGTCAAGAAGCAGGAACAGGCAGAGATAGATAAGATTTAGTTTCCCATGCAACCCTCCTCCTCCTCAGAGTAGTGACGAGGCTACATCTGCACAGGCCTCACCCACCCGTCCAGCCAGCCAGCGTGGACTCCGCTGGCTCCAGTCACCTCCCTAAAAGACCCCCAGTGCATTCCTGCTCCAGCTGTGGCTCTCTTCCTCTTGGTTCTTCTCTTCTCTTTTCTTACTACCATGCTCTCCGACCACTCCTCTAAGCCCCCACTCAGTCACTCACTTGCTTAGGCCTGGGAGTGATTATCAGCCCATTGCCGGGAGGAGGAAAGAAGGAAAGGAAAGCAGGAAAAAAAAAAAAGGAATTGTCTGGAAAACAACTGCTCTCTTACCCCTTGTTCCGATTCCAGGGGCTCGGCTTTGACTCGGACTGCAGGCATTCCGTCAAGCATTAACATCCTGTTTCTTAGCCTGCCTGTGAAGGAACACAGAGGAGGTGTAAGACGGGTGTTTTAGCATGACTAAGCAGGTCCCACACTCACTTATTCACACATGGACATCTACAATGTTGTCCTCACACCCACTGAGAAATAAACACATTTTAAATAGACATGACTTCATGTTTCAGAATCATCAGAAGCTGACACACAAACACACACACACACAAAAAGACGCACACAAACTGTGAGTCCCTCTTCTTTATAATAAAGATTTTCAAATTGCCTGGTGGGCTGCAGTGGGGCTAATAACACTTAATAATACTGAAAGAAATCCTCTTAAGACTTCAATGGAATACAAACACATGCTTCATATACAGTTAATCAACAGCAAAGGCATGAACACAACCCGTCTTCAGAGTTTTCCTCTTTAGCCACTTATATAGAGAAAACAATGAGCGCCGTTTGAAGTTGTGGCACTTCTAAAGGTGTAATGTAATATTCATTAATTCACATTATTATTTGAAGTATTTCTTAAGATCCACGCATCCCTCTGCCTCTGAGCACGGTGCGTCTGTAAAGTGGGCAGCAGTGCCCGTCTCCTCAGCTCCGCACTGTGGCTTTAAGAGCGATACTCAGATGGAGCCAATGACAACAATGCATGTTCCGTATCCCTCAGCTTGGGCCCGACCTGAGGTAACCCTCCCTCTTATTATTTTAGCAGCAGTACATGGAGGAATGCAAGCAAGGCAAATAGACCCTAAACATCTCTATTACTCTCCACTGCTGGCACCAGCAGCGGGGTTTGCGGCCCAGTCCTCATAGTCAGCAGCACCACGGCAATCATGACCATTCTAATTCTGAGGAATAAAAGCTGAGGCGCTAATGAATGACATACATTATCTCTGTTTACCTTATGTCCTGGCCATCTAACCACACGAAACATATTGCATATCACACAAAATCCCCGTGGCCTGCTCAATTACTAAACGTTTGGGTTTTGTTTTTGTTTTTTACTCACCAAAGTATCCACTCAAGACAGCTATCGGAAAACATTTCTTATGCAAAAATTGTTTCAGCAAAACTGTTTAATGCCAAGTATTGTTCCTCTACCTCTCAGAGTCTCAAGCGAAAGGCTAATCCTGACTGGGTTTGTGAGTTGAGTGTGTGAGGGAGGCAGAGAAAGAGGGAGGATTTACTCCCTCAATCTGCAACCCCCCAGATCTCGCCTCACAGGTCTAAGTCCCTCAGGTACCCTGGCTGTGCTGCTATTGTATTGTTGTCCAGGATGTCCTTCGGCTTCAGGTCTTGGTAGGCCCAGATAGCGTTGCCATGGTAACGACTGGGCGGGTGGAGCTGCAGCCTCGGTCCAGCCTCAAGCCATGTGTTGAGGAGGAAAAGAAGAGAGGAGTGCACTAAGAGAGGCAGAAAGTGAGGTTTTGTTTTCCCCGGGATGACCACCGTTATGGCAAATGCACTTTCTCCTCATTCACGAGAAAAAAAAGAAAAAAAACCCAAACCTCTCCAGACAGAGACACTTAAGATAAAACTTGATTTTCCCGAGGGGTTTGCTATTCTTACATCAAAAAGTTGTTGTTTTTTCCTTTTCCATTCATTTTTCTTCACTGTGCTAAATGCTCACTCCATTGCTGATGGAAAAGCGAAACAATTAGAACTTCTTGAAAGTAGCAATCTTTTCCCCGTGTGCCTAAAGTCCATTTAATCCAGTGGGTTTGTGAGCAGTACCTAATGAACTGGCCTGCAGAGGGATATTCATAGGAAATCAATGGTCTCTGCTTTCCTTTGCTTGTGATGATAATGACCAAAGAGCTAACGGCAGTCGGGGAGCCCTAACACTGAGTAATGAGATAACTGAGGGGTGTTGAGGAGTTCGTGTCGCACTCCTTTGACTGAAGTCAAATGTCAATCGCTTTCGTTCCCGCAAAAGAATTGTTTCTAACAGCTAGTGCTTGAAGATCAAAAAAAAAAAAAAATCAAAAAGATTAAAGATAAGAACAAAGACTGAGTTGAAACTGAAAAGAATTTGTTGGTGGTGATAAACCAATGCCTATCCAGTATCACTAAATTTGCTCTGCTGGCAGCAGGCTCAGGCAACTAGCAGTGCACTGTCCATCAGCGGTATGAGGCACTGTGTGTGGGAGATGGAGAGAGGAGGGAGGGGTGGGGGGGGGTTAGAAGGAAACAGGGTAGATTAAGATCACCTTTCCATTTGCTGCTCTCTGAAATGAAATGGCCATCCCAGGTGTGTGGGGGAGTTGGATGGAGAGAGGAGGGCAGTGGAGTGTTGAGGCATCTCATTTCTCCCTCCTACAAGCCCTCCTGTCCCCACCACAATCCCTCGGTAAAAAAAAAAAGAAGGTAAAGGGAGCAGGTGAAGATTGATGTCAGTTCTAGCAGAAGAAATACTCCAAGTATACCTATTTGTGAATTTTCTGCTGTCTTTGTTTTATTGTTTGAATTTATTTGCGTGCCTGTTAATGCGTTTAAGTGAATGAAGTGAAACTCCGACTGCACATCAACATCCATGACCTGAGGTTCACCATCTCCCAGTTCCCTGTTGACGGCTATTGACTGTGTACTCACTGAGGCAACAGCGAGAAGCTTGCGGGCTGCCTTAAAAAAAAGTGTTAAAAATTAGAATAGACAAACTTCTCTAGAAGACATCAGACATTGTGAGACCAAATGTTGACCTCATGCGCTCGTTTATTATACATGCACATTTCCTCACTGCATACAGAATCAAAAAAATCAAAAGGAAAGCATATCAAATTAAAAACCACTGTGCCAGAAACAGCTCTGTGGCTTACTCTTGTCTTTTAGCTTTACACCTGTGCTACTAGCACGCTGCCAACACTGTGAATCAAATAATTTTATTTATGAACTGTTCAGTGTTAATTAATGGAGTTTAACAAGGAAGTACTTGACTGGCTAAAAAAAATTATATAAAAAAAAGATGTATGTCGGTTGGTGGTGAACAACACTGTGACTTTGTGCAAGTGCTTGATACTGTCTCTGGGTGTTCATTCTCAGAGCACGGAAAAACATTTCTAATTTTTTTGTTGTTCAAGTAAAAGTTGGGGCTTAAACAAGCTAATGAAACCAGATTTAGTATCTGGCTGTGTGCACCATCTTTGCTTCCCTTCTCATCTTTTTCCTCTCATGTGGACATACTAGCACACACACACACACACACACAAATGCCACACACCCTGTAACACACTGCAACAGACGGGCCCCGCCAATGCTTTGTTCCCATGTCGAACGCCCAGAGCAACTGGGTGCATCTGTGTCACAGAGGCTGGACCTGCTGCCACGGGCTGGGATGGAAGCGGGATGGAAAAGGGTGAGAGGAAGGGAAGGGGTAATGAATAATTGGGGGGATTGAGGGGAGGGGATGGGGGGGTTACATGAGGATGGATTCAGGAAGGTGATAGGAAGAGATGGCGGGGGGTGGTTGAAGAGCGCAGAGTTACTGGCAAAAGCAGTGGTTAGGAAAGCAATCACGGGGAGTTGAAGGGGTTGGAGGGGGTTGTTTAGCGGGGAGGAGGAAGGGAGGAGGGGAGAGAGGGGAGAGAGGGGATATGGACATGAGCCAAGGCCCGGTCGAGCGCAAAGCACACGGTGCAAGAATGCCAACAGACCCCCCCTCCCATCCAGTCCTCTACCAAAGGGAGGAGAGAAAGAAAAAAGGGAGAACAAGAAAGCAAAGCAAGAAATGCATTTAAAAATGTAAACAAATGCTTAACTAGTTCTATGGATAAAAGGGACAGAGCTGTAGTTGATGCAAAATAAGCATTTCCTGTGTTTTGCCCAGGCTGTCTGTTGCTGGCCTCTTCGCTGAAGCTCACTTCCCTGTTCTATGCCCCTGGACACCCCAATGTGACACATTGGCCTGATAACCAACCTACGACTGTTAGCTCACTTGCACACTGCAGCACTTCCTCTCTTTCAAGTCAGCCAGTGCACAGAGGTTTTTGAAAACTAGTAAAGAAATACTGTAGCAATTTCTCAATAAAGAAGGTGAAATGAGGGGAAAAAACTTGCTAGACAAAGAGTTTTGGATGAGTGATACTTTTGCAGACACTGGGACATAAAGCTACTGATTTTTTTTTGCTAGCAGAGTAGACGGATCAGCTGAATCACAGCTGATTTTCAATCTCAGCCTGCTTCATGTTAAGCTGCATCTGTGCATGACCTCATCTTGTTGAACTAATTCTGGTCTTGAGAGCTACGTGCATAGTTCCTTGCTGAGTTAGTACTCGAAGAGTAACTGCGCCCAGGAAAATTATGGCATTTTATGCGGTCAAGGGCTCAACATTTGAATCTTAAACCCAATCCGGTCAGTGGTGCCCTACGAAGCTAAACACAACATAAATAATGCAATTCAAACAGGACCACTTTAGTCAGAGAACTTCTTATTTTCATTTGCAGATGACTAAGTTATACTTGGCTGCTTGGCTCTGCTCTCAGGCCTCCCCAGCAAAAGCCTTGAAGAGCACACCTCAATCCCATGCTCTTCCACATGCATAGATGGAAAACCCGAGCACTCTCAAAGGAAGAACAGCAGCACAGGCGTCAGTGACACCAGATATGATGCTGAGAAGTCAGATAAATTCATAGAGCTATTTGGGGAATGTATATAAAGAAAATCTTAGCTGTGTTAACTCATATTCATATCTGACAACAAATTGCATGGCTGGTAAAACATACAACTGACATGTCTACTTGGAACCTGGGTTTTCTCCAGGATGTCAAATGATAATTTGTGTGTGAATTAAGTGGAGTTTAAGGGATTCAGACACACAGCATCAGCTTATCCTCCATATTGCCTTCTGTGCCTGCTGGCGACTGTAAAAGACCGTAAAAAAGCGCCTGATGCATTGATTTTTGCTGGGAGTGGGGGGCAGTCAACTCATTCCTGCTTGCTACAATATAGCTGTTGATGACCAAAATGACCCTGAAGCCACCGGAAAATGTTCCCGTGCTCCTGATTGGTAGTCTGCCGCTGTTTGTCACA